AAAGAAACCTACTTACAAATAAATTAATATTATAGCAATTTGTCGATGACAATACCAAGAACAATAATGTGTTGCTTTCTGACAACAACGTATATCCAAAAGATAAGATTAGTTATACGTTAACCGATGACTTATTCGAATTCAACAAAACTTGTTTGATTTATGATGTCAACCGAGTTCTAGTAAAATCGCTAAAAGTTAGTTAGACTCGTATGTCTGATAAAATCAATGTAAATAACCCTATTAAACATTTTGATGTCAAGTTGACAGTAACAGCTACTGCCTACGCGATCGTTTAAGAACAACAAATCTTCCAATGCTTGGCCGTACGTTTGAAGAGAAATACAAACCTTGTAAGAGTTATCAAGTACATGAAAGTTAGAAAGCGAAGATATTAGATATCAAAGAAAAATAACATCTGATAATGGAACCCAAAGTATATCTTTTCTTGTAAAAGCAAAACTTTTTTACCAAACAAAATTGTAAAGTATTCAAAAGGAATACTAAGAAGTTTCAAGCAAATAATTCTATTAAGAAAATCCAAAGTGAAAGGGATATAAACATACTTAACATTTTCATACTTCTTACCGCTCGTAAATAGACTAAATATGCGACGTATTTACTCTGATAACGAGGACACGAAAGGCGACAGCCTAGTTGTAGACCCTAAATAAATTCTACCAACATAAACGAACAAAGACAATGCCGCAAATAAACTTAATCAAGACAGAACAACTCTTGGTTATCAAACTGAGCATAATGAACAGCTAACAAAGCCAGACTTGACAAAATACAAATCTAATTCCGACAACTATGGATCTACAAACTTCCTTGGCCTTACAATTACCGATGCTAATCTCTCTGGTGAGCTGAAGAGCAAATCTCTAAGTTTGCCGACTTTGGGCTTGCAGTCTGTGAGCATAGCAAACATCTGAAAGCGCCAGGCAAACTCTCTCAGATCGCCTTACACCTGCCAAACTTCAATTGTTGATGTTTTTGACCTTTCAAATTTGTATGCAAGTTATTAAAATTTAATAAAATGATAAGTGTAGACTCAAGTTCGTAAATACGTGTTGTTTTTTTTAACTTAACAGGAGTATTTTATAACTACTAAATAAATTAAAGATTTAATTTTGAAATTACTCGTTAAATGAAACCGACATGTTAGCTGTATTTTCATTGTGATTCTTACTCCAAGTTCAAAAGTTTTAATAAAGTCTCTCTGTACGACATAAATCATTACATACATTAGTAAAGTAGTACACGGGTTTAATTAATAATAACAACCATAAATAACATACGTTACATTATACAGCTACAAAGTTGCTTTACTCCATGAGATTAAAATTACTAAGGCATACATAAGCCCAATGCGGCGGAGGAATATCAAGGAGCCGGGACACCGCGTGACTCCGCACACATTCATTGTAACAAAGCGGCGACACAGGTAGAAAAACCCGCTCCAGCTAATTTTAAACCTCGTCTCAAAAGCAAACAGTTCTTTGTACAGGAGCACAATTTTAATTAAAACAAATATTACTTAGACAAAAAAAAGTAACGCGTACAAACGAATACAAATCGCCCAACAAGACAAATAACGGAAATCACATATGTGGTAACCCGAAGACATTATAATTATTTTGACAAACAACGTCTTACAAATCTTGACCTATCAAAAAAAGCTTAACAAATAAAAATTTGAAGAATGGAAACGAATGCATTCATTTACTGCCTTGTGTAAACATTATGGACTTGCCCACGCTCTTTAAATGGGCAGATAGAAAATGTGACCAACGGTGTGTCCGAGTCAATTCGTTTATAAACATCCATTGACCTTTACGGTCGTCTTTCCATTAACGTACATAAACTAATTCTTATGAGAACCATCCAAGCGTTCATTAATTTACTTTTTTCTATCATCTCTACCTGTTTACTGAACCATTTTAGCGTACTGAATAGATAGTAGCTCTTTCCCTTCGTATTAAAGTGAGTCTAATCGTGAGACATTATTTTTACGACCATTAAAGTACGTGTGGTATTTTAAATCGTTTTGTATCAGTGACTCAGAAGTAGACAAACATAAAAGCGACCGATTTTAATGTTCAAGTTATCAGAAATAAAGCTGTCAATTTAGACATTTCAATCGTTGATTAATATGTTATACCTTTAATTACTCTACTGGGAACGTCGCTTGCTATCAAGTATTCTTAGTGACAGTATCATGTGAAGCTATTCGAATATTGTAATCGTACGTTTTATTATCAAATAGAAAAATATGAACATTATTGCGGTAATGTTTTAACGGTAATTATCGCTATACGTTTGAATTCCAGACTAATAAAATACCGACATGTATCATTGAGAATGGAATCGAATCCATTAAGAGGCGTTAATGTCGATATAATCCGTAACATCCGCACCACGGCACCCCTCGATTAAAATTAGCAACGTAAAGGAGGATGTGGATCATAATAGGCCAACGAAGATACTACAAAAGATCGGTATTTGTAATAGTTAGGAGAGGATTAACTGGTAGAGATCGTTAACGATTAGAACAAATTGCTGGTTTATTAGATTCCTTAGACTGTCTTAACGTTTCCGAGATTATCGATTTAACTTAGATTAGAATTTCCCCAAAGACATTTGTTTTCCTTGAATACCTTCTTACTTTATTTCCTTCTTATTTCTAAAGTAACTTTTATGCTGTCTCATAACATTGCAAATAAGCCTATCAATTACCGTACACAATTCACTGCAAGCTGTTACACGGAGCAACCCTAACTTTGACAATAACGGTGATCTCACAGCGGATGTAGCAGGCACAATGCACGACAACAGCACACAAATATTAGCCATTAATCGGAACTACGATATTGATAGCCACCAAATTTTGTCAGAGCTTTTGTGCAGAGTTCCGGCGGTAATCGCTTTACAAAGCGCCGTAGACAAAAAAATCTAGCCAATTCTATTGTTGTCCGACAAAGTTGAAAAGAATGCTCCCAGGTAGACATGGGGGTGGATCGATGACAATGCACCAGTGTGATAATTAAATCCAAAGCGTGTTACTGTGACAGCACATTCCGTTAATAGCGACACTAATACAAATTACGCCATTAATGGCATCAGCGTCATCGCGTTTGGAACTTCCTATTGAGAGAACATTGTTAAATTTATTGAGGTTACTAATTGTTTTTATTAAATGATCTATGAGTGCAGTGAGTATATTATATATAAATATTGACTCTACATTTACTAGTCGTGAGAAACACCAGTTTTGGTTTGGAGATTATATAGCCAGTGGCATTCTTAGATTATTTTTTTGCCGGCGATCCAATGCGCGCCCGTTCGACGTGGGTTCTTAGCGCACTTGAGACCGAACAGGTTTCAACGTGGAGACCGAAAACCGGTAAAAAAATCATCACAGGTAATTACGGTAGGCTCATCGCTTCACAATTCAATGTAGAAAATATATAAAATTCTATAAGTTATCATAAAAAGTTATTTTTTTTCCTATTTTGCTTAGTAGGTAGAACAATTGGATGTAATATTTTTACAGAATTGACCGGTTATTTTGCTGGTACCTAATTTGTTTGAATTGCACGAGGTTTTACTGTGGTAGGCAGCAACTGTCCATTGTAGCGTGCTATTTTCCAACCACTTGTTAGCGAAATTATTAGAAACGATGCATTGTAAGCCAAGATGGAAACAAAGAAATACTGCAAGTAGTAAAAAGCAAGGAATACGTAGAAAGCTATTATTTATGGACTTTGTGCTGGATCTTATACCAAAGAAATAATATTAAAAATTGGTTTTGCCGCCGTACCAACTAACAAATGTGCACATTTTATAGCTAGTGGATATGATTATTAATAAAGGTAGTTAAATTAAATATTGGTTTCTGCATAAGCAGTCATATGGAAATGAGCCCAAAGTAATCAGCGTTATCAAATCGGAGCATATTTACGTTGATACAGAAATATCAATGAACGATAAGAACATGACGTGCATGTCAAGTCGCTGACAAATGTTGGGTATAATTTACACTACACAGAAAGGCGGGCCCTCCAAGCAATATTCCACCCTCTTAATCACTACCCACTGGAATAATTAATAACACCTCAATTAAAATATCAACTAAGCGCTTCCACCCATATGATAAAGATAAATAATTTGTGAAACATATATGCACCTACTTCTGTACAATAACATGTTATTATTTTGTTATAATGACCCATTAACTGTTACTTTATTTTAATCGTTTATTTTTTATGATCTCTCTTGTTTGTCGCTTTTTTATTATAGGCTGTGGAGTTCATGTTTATTAGAATCTGAATGTATTTTATTTTTAGATTGTTTATTAGTTCGTCGTTAGAGCATCTAATCAAAATAATACCTTGGTTAATGATTCGTGATTTATTATAAATTGTTTCCTATTTTTATGTTTTCTTTTATTCGTTCTGTGTATCCAAAAAGGTAAAATGGTATTTACGAATATCTTCATCAAGTCACGAAATGCATTACACCAAATTAAAGTTCCATCAGATATTTATATGGGAATGAGATCTTTGTATCATGTCAGAACAAGCCGTATTACTAATTAACGCCTTAGGGAGCTAAAACAGGTTTCGCGATTTATCGTAAAACCCAATTTAGAGCCAGCAGGCACGCGATTACAATCTTCTCACGACAGGAAGGCGCGCAAACTCCTCATCTCGAGGGAAATCACGCACGCAACAAACTTTATGGCAACACGTCCCGAGGAGCGATTCGCTCGGGGCGGTCGAAGACGGGCCGCACCACACACAGACTAATTCAAAAGAAATAACAAGATGCAGGCAGTGTCTCTACGCGGTCGGCTCATGTAAACATACAGCCAACTATATTCACGACTCACTCCAGACACAAATAACATACATTCAGAGATTTCCTCTCACTTTCACATATCACGGGTCATAACCGCTAGAAGCACTGCCCACTATTTAGGGCTAATGATCACTGACCGTGGTGGAATATGGCTGCAGACTCAGACGAATCCCGTCCTGTGCAAGGCGTTCTCGAAGTAAACGCTTCAGTTGCATCCGAGGTATCTTCACTAACTCTGCTTTCCCTTCCTCATATTCGTCAACGTATTTTGCTGGTTCCACTGCTGCTGTAGCCTGCTCTTTTCTTGCTTCTTCCTCACATCTACAAGAGTCCCGAGCGGCGGCTGCCTCTTCCAAAGTAAAATAAACAGCCGCCGCTCCTTCCTCTCTCAAAGATCTGACTGAATGAAGCAATCGCTGACGATGAGCAGGGTTGAGGACGCCAATAGCATCCAAATCTGGTTCTCCTACTTGTTTGCATATTTCTAAGTCATCATATCCGTTATCAATAAAACTTTCCGCGTATTGGCCCAAGTGGAGCGATCGCAACCACTCGACGACGATGTTGCCGCTCGCAGACGAGGCCATGTCGCGTCAAAATACTGTGAGCATTACAAGGCGTGCTCGCGGCGCGGTGGTCGGCGAGAAACTGGCGGCCACGCTCCCCTTTGCCCCCCTCTCCCCTCTATAAGCCGCGGTCGCCGCCCCTAGTACTTGGTGCTTTTGCTTTTTGACATTTTGTAGCTTAATCGTTTCGTTTCATGGAGAGGTGCGCGTCGCACCACGTGATATTCCGAATTAATCTTTCAAATGCCATTATGATATCCGATACGACATTTGTCGTTAGTTACTGTCTTATGAACCTGTAGTGTAGTATTTTAACGATATCTAATATTTGTTTACTTTACTAAACTTTGGATTAATGGGAAAAAATAAGGTCACAAAGTCAATATAATATGAAGCAGCGGGTGGTCGTTGTGTAGAATGATATATGTGTAGTTTTATTTATTAATCTTTGGGGCGCCTCTATTTTGTATATCAAACTACATTTAATTTGATTCTGCCCTCGTTTTGTATTCAAATAGGACTAGGTGTTTCTATAAATAAACTGTTACGATATTGCCTTTACGTGTTATTTTAATTTTATTTTATTGTCTAGTAAGTTTTTTAACGTTTGTTAAAAAGTTATTTATTTATAAATTTGCATTTACATCGCGAATGTAAATATATAATTAGGTAGCACAATATAAATAAATCTCTTGGGATAGCCGATTCTGTTTACTTAATAAAGCTAATTAACCACGAACTGTGAAGTGGGTCGAAGTTTACTTTTACCAAAGCTGTTATTCATTAAACTACTTGACCTGTTTTATCTCATTTCGGAAGCTGCAACTAAACGAACGAACTTGCTTTATATAAGTTTGCATAAAGTCAACGATGCGGGCTGAAGATAGTTCCCTATTTTGTTGATTGTCTTCACTGCTTAAATATTTCATCAGTGTTTATATTAAGTTTACTCTGAAATAGTTATTAAAATTGTATGTTCAAATCAACGTCTTAAATTTGTTGGTTTGGTTGATTTACATCTAGTCATCTGGCCTTTTAAGTACGAATACGCTTATGTAACTCTTTTGGGATTTCAGGTTCTTCGGAGGCCGAGAGACGATCTTCGGCCACCAAAGGCGCGGGTCTGCAGACGGCGGGTAAGGGTTGCTCAAGGCCCGATGAGATCCAGGCCCGAGCGGACGGCGCGTAGCGTTCCGCGCGTGCCTCAAAGAGCCAATAGACCATTACAGACGGGGCTCTACAGGGCTGATGTTCAATCGGGGTTGCGGGTTAAGTGCAATAAGTCACCGCGGCCTTGGCCCAGAACAGGAGAAGGAACGGTTGATTTTTAGTCAGTAAGAGTCTGACCCTCTCTCTCGCCTTCTTACCCTGGGCGGGAGAGGTGATTTTCCCCGGACAAAAATAAAAAAAAAAGTTTCTTCAATCAAGTGATCCGTCTGTTAGTTTGTTAACCTTGTAAATGAAACACCTTCAACGAGTTTTTATTTTCCTCAAATTATTTTTTTACATTACTTTGATAAAAATGTTAATATCAATACTTTGCCTTTAATAATTACAAAAATAATGAATAACCCCTAAAAATTAATTTGGCACAATGACCGTGAATTAGAATCATTAGATAAATTGAAAAAATACTCTGTCTAGAATATACCAAATCTTGTATAACTCGTATTCAACAACCACAATCAAACTAAAGAGACAGTTGACCTAATTACATTTACTTTATTTAAATGAACCTAGCCTACAGAACAGCGCAGAAACTACGGTTTTCTTAATTAATAATGGAATTTATCAAGCATTCTTAGCACTAAGGTTTGCGGACCTAGGATATTTAATCAAAATTCTAAACAATATTTAGTTTGACTTGAATTTAATAATAAAATTAAGTTTATTTGTAGTTTATGGAAAACAATATTGTCGTAACATCAGAGTTATAGTTCGAACTAACTTAGTGTGGTTTCACAGAACGTCAGAATCTACCGCGACTGACGCGACATGACCGAAGTAATATCGTACTATTTCGTTAGTTTCAAACAAATATATGCATACATATGTACAAACGCTTGAAGTACATACAGATGATTTTCGTGTGTACTAGAAAGCAAATAATTATTATACTGGGTGCTTGGAAAGTGCTTATTGCATGCAAAATTCGAGAAATTACGAATGAATTTTTTATTCAGATTTAAAATGAAAATTAATAACATAGCTGGCTTATCATGATATTCGCTAACTCGGCAGATAAACTAGATTATTCCAACCTAGTTTTCCGCGAGCAAGCTTACGGATACCGAAATAATAGAAGAGCCTTTAAAAATTGAATTCTTTAAAACATATTACTTATTTTATAATGAAGGAACTGTGTGAATTTTTAATTAATTAAAAATAAATTATCTTTCCTTTTCTAAGTTCTTCGACATAAAAATAAGTTCATTTATGTATAACCCTCTCCAGATTTAATAGTGTTTTTTTAAATTATGAATGTTGAATTTTTAATTATGAATGTTAAAAGGCTTGACAGCATTGGCACGAAAAATCTATTTCAATACTTATGCTTACTCATTCAAAGTATCATTTAGGATAATTTATATTGAAAATTTACAATAAAATATTTATATCGCCTTGAGTAGTTTAATTTGTTTACTAACATTTGTCGTAGCGCTAACGCCATCTAGTTAATAAAATTGGCATCACTTACTTGGTAAGTTAGTGCAGAGTACCTATTCGGATGTGAACTTAAACAGATAAGCAATAAATATGTATTATTATATAAATTACCGTATTATAGTTCGTACTTTGTATAAATGTGAAGGAATGGAGAGGGAGAGGGAGAGGGAGACCAAAGAAAATATGGATGGATTCTGTGAGAAGTGATATGGAAGACAGAAGAGCTAGTGATAGCGTGACAGGTGACAGGACAGTATGGAAGAAAAAAAGATATTGCGCTGACCCCAAATAAAACGGGACAAGGACAGGAAGATGATAATGATAACTTTGTACATATTTATTTAATTTATTGCTTGTATTGAGTTAGTTTGTAGTTTTGTGTCTAAGTTTAAGTTTTTTTCCCCTGTTTGTTTCGTAGCATACTGTGTTGTGTGGTTTATGGAATATTCCTAACGTAGGAATGCGTGAAGAGATTCCAAAAGGAATATGAGGAACCTATGTACCCATGTCTTTAATAGTATTTTTCCTTTATAATATATGTACGGCTTCGCACAGGTGCAATGCTCTTACTTACTACCTAACATTCTGCATTTGATTAATTATGGATTTTATTATACATAATATAAACTGCTACAAAATCCGGTGCGTACTTTTAAAGATTAACGCAAACATAGTAAAATATGGACAGAGAAAGCGACTTGGTTTTGTACTATGTAGTGAAGTTAAAAGAAAAGTATAAAAATATAAATATTTGTACTTCAAAATCTGATCTTATTTTTAGCTAACTGTTCAACAACTGTTTCCAACTGGTGTAGTCTTTCAAAAGCTATACAGCTATATACCATTGAAACAAAACAATGAAACAATGAATTTATTTTTGCAAATAGGCCATAAAGCGGCACTTTTACACGTCAATTTATATGTGAAAAACTAGATGAAGCCGGGTTATTTATATATAAACATTATATTGTATTACATCTGTACGGAGAAGTTCAAATAAAAATACCAAGGAAAACTCTTAAAGATCTTTATGTTTTCACTTGTAGTTGTAGCGAACGACCACTTCCAGTATTATAACAACTGTTTTGATTTAACAGGAATGAAGTGGTCCATGAAATTATGTTAGAATCTGCACTTCGATATTGCACTGTAGGTTCGCTCATAAAATCAGTAATAATTGCTCAATATAACTTCCAATTGTATTCTACACTCATAGCGTAGCAATAATAAGGTTTGCGTAAAAAGTATCTATTGATTTAAATAGAGCGCATTATTACAAATATCTACAATTACTCGAATGGTACGTTTAATTATATCGTGTTATTGTTTATTTAATAACCAGTTAAAGTTGGATTTTAGAGCTGGAAATGCTTTGCTGATATTGATATGATAATAATATTATATTCGTTGATTAGTATTAAGAGGCTTGTATACACAAAAATTTTGAACAACACGAATTTATTGAAAAGGACCAAAAGTTTCATTACATCAACAGTTGAGCTAAGTAGATTTTAATGAAATTTTATTTATTCACTTTATTAAATTAAATATTTTATTTTTCTTCATGCACAGTAAATACATAGATTGAAAAACTGCCTTTAGCATTTTGCCCCAGTCAAATTTTGGGTGATGCAGGAATAAGCCAATGCTTGGTGCTAAAAGCAAGCAAACATGCAAAGGAAAAAAAAACATTATTACATAATGAAATTGTGACTGAACCACATTATTATGCTCGTCCCTCAATGATAATTATTGAATAATTTAATCAATATCATAACTTTGCGTATTACAAAAAATAAGTCTTTTCTGCATAGTTACTTGAAATCCCATAAAGTGATCACAGAAGTGCATGAAATCCCAGAAATAAAAATGTGTTTTTTATTATTATCAAGAAAAAAACAGAAGCAAATGTCACAAAAAAGCAACAACAAATGAAACAGTCACAGTAAATGCCCAACACAAACAACATTAGCTAAACGCAGATGTCCCAACTAGTTGGTAACGACGCTACAAATCTTGAACTATTTCCTTACTATACATTATTTCGTTTTACGTCCAATTTCCATATTCGGTGAGCGTGAACAATTTAATGGACCAAAAGATTGCTCCTGCCCGGCCTACGAAAAGGTTTTTTAAAGTATAACTAGTTTCCTTTGGAGCATCCCGTATCTTTTGATGGGACATTTTTTTTCTGGGAGTGGTTGATAGTGAATCTTTTTTACTTTGTACGCAGTAATTAAACTTTTTTTAACACCTATCTATTTTGTACTCGAGTCATATTTTCAGTCCTTTGTTTGATTATATGGATATTTTCATTACTATTCATTTAATACCCATGTTTATATTTTTCGTACGAACTTAGGTAAATGTAGCAATTCAATTCGTATTCATACATACATA